ACTGAAACAGAAAATGTTACAATTCTCATTTCCTATTTTATCCAACAGTTAGCTGTTGGGAAAACTGTGCCCACATTTTACTCCCTACTGCAGTTGTAAAGTGTTTTTGAGCAATTAACTCATATATATATATATAAAATAAATAAAAACATCAGATGAATGTTCAATCACTCATTTCTGCTAATAAACTTTTGTAAACCTACAGAATAACTAAAGTTGACGGCATGTTTTTTTTCTTCAAAATACTTTATTTTCACCCTCTTCCCTCCACCAAAACAATATATATTTATGTATATGTATCTACAGCCTTATTTATATTCCTTGGGCAGCTTTGGCATCACTTTCCTCAGTTTCTGGGTTCAGGTAGCTCAGCAGTTTCATCACCGCCTCATTCTCGAAGCCCTGCATTTGCGTGTCATCGCCCCTCTCGTCATCCTCAGACTGTCTCTTTTCATTCTGGCTTTTGTCCGAGTCCATTTGATCAAAATATTCCTCTATCGCCTTTTCAAAAGAGCCCGTCATGTTCTGCCCGACCTCATCCCGCTTTTGGCTCGCCTTTCTGTTGCTGTACGCTGGTTTGGGATACTGTGCCAGCATCTGAGCTGCGAGGTACGCTGCCAGTTCGTCCTCGTCGACGGTGTCGTCATAGTCGTCTCTGAAAGTGCCGGGAAGGCGCCGTTGCGTGGGAGCGGATTCCCCCAAACGCCCTGCAGGCGGAGTGTGAAGTCGTGACAGTGAGCTTTTGTGCTGCTTCTGCTTCCTGACAGGAGGTGAATCCTCTGCGCCTCCCAAGCCCAGGATTTTGAGGATTTCTTCTGTCCTCTGCTCTTCTGGCGTCTTTTGTCCATAAGGCAGGCGTCTGTTGTAGTATTTGGCTTCGGGGAACTTGTGTGTCTTCTTTGAGGAAATCTGAGAGAGCTGGCTTTCTGCTCTGGCTAACTCGTTGCTCTTTCGCAACTTGTCTTGATATGTCTTTTCACCGGTTCTGAGCATGTCTATCAGGTCCTCAGGTGGGATCTGGTATTTCTGGGAGATCTGAATGAGCTGGTAGATAACTCTTGGATCGACGTTGTCTCTGTACTGTGTCTGAGCCACTCTCCTCTCAGCCCTCTCCTTCTCCTCTTCCTCCTCGATCTCTCGTTTCTGCTCTTCCTCTTCTGTTTTCTCCAGCACTTTCAGGAGGTAATAGTCCACCAGATTAGCTACGTCGTCTGGATCGCTTGACCTTTTGATTGGGTAGCTTTCATCATCTTCCTCCTCGTCATCCTCATCAGCTTCTTCGTCGTTGTCATCGATGTAATCGAGCCCTCTGTCGACGTCATGTTTGTTGTCCGTCTCCTCCTCCTCCTCCTCCTCCAGTGGACCCCAGTCTGCCAGATCCCCGCCTATGTCGTCATATGCTACGTTCCTCACATTAAACATATCGCCATCTTCCTCCCCATCCTCCTCCTCCTCCTCCATGTCATCCTCCTCATCTTCCCGCTTGCGGAGGGTCTTTGTACTGGTCAGCTTGTCCAGTTCGTCGAACACCGACTGCAGCGTGGCCAGGTTCTGAGGAGTGTACTTCTCCTCCACGTTCTCGTTGGTGCGCTTGAAGGGGCTCTCGTGCTCTGGCCGGTCCTCATCCTCTTCCTCATCCCCCTCACCTTCCTCCTCATCCTCAAACATCAAGGGCAGCTTCTTGTGAGGCATGATGCCTTGCTGCTTCTGCTGCACCCTGGGATACGTGCCGACCTTCACGCCTGTTCCTTCTGCGCTGGGGCGAAGCGAAGCCGGCTTGTAGGCCTTTTCCGTCTGCTGGAGCGTGCTGAGCACAGCCTGCAGCAGCTCTTCACTCTTATCCTCCCTTCCCTCATCCTCCTCCTCTTCCTCCTCATCTTTGCTTTGTGTAGGGTTTGAAGCCAGTCTCAGCATGGCGCGCAGCTTCTCAGCATCATCTGTGTTGCTGCCATCAGTCCCTGCAGTGACAGGGGCGTGCTGCTGGGAGTCCATGCCGGTTCTTTGATGGAGACTCTCGATGTACTCCAAGGCTTTCAGCATATCGGTGTTAGGTGCTGGGCGGACATTTCCTCTCTGGAAGTCGGATTCACTTCCTCGTAGTCTGTGCTCTCTGAGCGAAGCACCGTGAACGCCAGAGGAACTGAGGACGAGAAGGACCAAGAGGAGGTTGGCGAAACAGATGAGGAAAGATTTGCCAGTGGTGAAGCTCTCAGGGAGTGACGGCATGATGACGCCTGCAGAGCAAAGATAAGGAAGCACATGTCAGCACTGACCTTTACACATTAAGCAAACAGGTTCACAATGGCTCCTGCTCTGGCATTTCTGAAACGCCTTTTGCTCTCGCTGTCAGTTTAGATGTCTAGTCTGATGGTAACGTCGCAAACCACTCAGACAGTTTTACTTTTTCATGTGAGGCAAAGGTCTCGATGCGTTACTGTTGCTCTGACGAGGATCAGGTCAAACGCCCTGATAAATCTGATTTATCTGACAACGTCCAGTTAAATACGGGTTTGTTTGAATGTGTTTTTATTTTACATTTGCTTCTTATGTGGTTTGAATTCTTGTTTTTAATGTTGTTTTAATTATTCATTTAATTTTTAAAGATACTGTAAAACTGCATGGGAAATTCATCAGATGGTTTATACACAATAACAACAGCAATAATAATAATAATAATAATAATGATGATGATGATAATCTTTGTGTATCTGCAGCTCTGCCTGTGACTGTTACAGACTGTACAGAGTGTTTGCATCCTTCTCCAGCTCCCTGCCTGTTGCTGGTGTTTGTGGCTCAGATGGAATCGTGCCGCCTGTTTGCCAGCAGCAGTAACAGCAGCGGCATTCAGCTCCCGTGCAAATCTCATTAGTCGTCAAATTGCTGCTCTCCGTGAGTCACAGCCCCGTTGTCAAGGTAACCCGGTAAGGCTGATGTTCGCGCAACCTCTGCTTTAATCTGAAAACACCAATTATCTGTTTCCCAGCTGTCCGTGCAGCTGAACGGGGACAGATTGTTCTCCAGCCGGATGAAGGGTTTGATGAAATGTGCAAAAATGAACTTATTGTTAAAAAAAAAACAACAACAACGATGCAGGAGCCATGTTTACTTTTTTTGTGTGTTTTTGTTTTTCCAAACTGAATTTAAATGACCAAACTTCTGCTTTAATGTGCGACAGAAAAGTGATGATCAGCTCCAGGAGGTTAGCAGCTCAGAAAAACGTGAAGCGAACCGAGAACAAAAGGCGGACTGCGGACGACACAACGCAACCTGTCAGCCTCAGCATCTGTGGCGGTGCATCAGGTTGGAGGCAGCGGAAGTCATCAAGATAAAATAAAAATACAAATAAAAACTATTTACATGAGAAGCGATATAAATAATAATAATTTTTTTAAAAACTATTTCAAAGAGTCCAGCGTGTGTTCGGTGCCGCCAGCGGCTCTTACCTGCAGTTATTCGCTGTGGAGGCTCGTGGGGGAGCTGAGCATCTCTCTGCGCTCAGCGTGGATTCAGCACCGCGGACAGATCCTCGCGCTATTAGAGCGACCACCTGACTCGTGCGTCACAGCGCGAGGAGACACGCAACCAGCACACACACACACACACACACACACACACGCCCGTGCGCCCCCACCAAAACACGCGCGCGCATATGGGATACGGTACGCGCACGCGAGCGGTTAATTTCGAGTCAGCCAAACAAAAAAGAAAAAAAAAAAAGTGCTTCAGTGTGACTGTGGAGGGAAAGCAGCGGCTCATACATTAATAAAGAGCCAGGCTATATTTAGGAGGCCGGCTGACTGAAATAGTCCCGTTTACAGTGTGTTTAACGCCAACACGCCTTGTTGGTGGAAAGTCTCCAGACACGGTGCTGTGTGACCTGATCACACTCCTCAGTGAGCTCCGCACTAAGCAGGTGGGTTTAGATGCAGGTAGAGGTTTAATAAACCCTGATTGGTTGTGTTTGGTCGCTCCGTGTCACACAGACTGCTGCTGCAGCACCGAGCCACGGACACGGTTCAAGTCCGCCGATGACTCACAGACGGACTCCGCCAAAGACGGGCGGGGTGACAGAGGGACTGCGGAGGTGAGTGCGTGTGCGTG